AGATGAACCATCCGTCATCGGATTTTGAATATTCGCCAGATTTTCAACAATTTTAGGCGGGGAGTTGAGTTAATATATTAAAATTTGAAACATGAACATTATCATTAGATGTTCCTTCATCCAATCTAGGACTCTTTTGAGGCGTTTCAATGAATTTCTTAGACATAATTTTGTTGGAAAAAAATTGGACGAAAGATTGAATGTTGGTGTAGTTGGCTGGTGAGAAAAATGGGAGAGAAGAAGGTGAAAGTGGGGTGATAGCGTGTATAGTTGGATGTGTGGGGGAAGGGTGGTGGGATTGACTAATGTGAGGTTATGAGTATAACATTAAATAAGGAAGTGTAATCAATGTAAAATCCCTATAATTGTGTAAGAGATAATTATGGGATATTCTTTATTTAAATAATTTAATAATAATTTAAAATTATAAAAAATTACTTATTTTATAAAGTAAAATTTAATTAATTTATAAATAATTAGTGATATGTTATAACCCGTAATTAAACTGTTTTAAGCAAGAATTTTTTAAAAGTAGATTTAAAACCTGTAATATTGACTCTTAAATGTGTATATGGGGTGATTTTTCCTAAAATTATTTAACTTTTAATTTATCACACAAAGTCATACTTCTATTTTTTGTCATATAAAATCATTTAATTTTGTCCAAATTAAATAAAAATAAATTTCACCTAAGTTTTTATATCTCATAGTGTACATTTTATATGTGGATCTAATTTGATTTCAATGTGGCTAACATATTCGAAAATTTAATTGGATGAAACACGTTGTGAGAGTGACTTTCCTTTAGATATCTATTTTTGGGTGAGTCAACTCTATATTTAGTTTATTCCATATTAATAAACTACAAGATCAAGACAAGGTAAATGTAGATTGGACCTCTTCTTCTTTAAAGTAAGTTTGTAAACTTGTAGATTGATCTAGACTTATTAAATTGTTTTCCCACACAATCCCACAAAAAAAATATTAAAACAAAATAAAAATATGTGGCAACTTCAGTTATCGAGGATATGATCTAGATATATAGGAGAGTACTTAGGCCACAAATAGTGGCAGAGCCACCTTATAGTTAGGGGTTCATCCGAACCCCTTTCGATGGAAAAATATATTATTTTTATATGGTTAAAATATGTTTTTAGATATATAGTAGATATTGAACCCCTTCAACTATTTCATGTGTCTATATCTTCAAATTTTAAACCCCCTTATTAAAAATCCTGACTCCGCTATTGGACATGAAGGGTGATGGTCAAGTGTTCTGGCATGATTCGTTGTCATGGAAAAATCCATTTGCTTATAGCACTACATAAAAAGTTTGATAGTTTTGGCAACATTGTATGTTTTATATATTGGAGATTTCAAAGATTTTAATTGTCTTTATATATATATATATATACCATATTATAGTAAGCTAAGCATGATGTGGACAACTCGTAAATATATAAGATACGTAAAATACTTTGCCACAGCTAGTTTTAATCTTTTGTTATTATAATGGTAGTATAAAACTTGTTTAAACTAATTAAAACTATTGTACTCGTGCTTTACATGCTTGATTTATTAAGTTTACTCGAGTTGAGGGTCTATTAAAAATAATACTCTTCTTACATTCATTCGCAAGATAAGATAAGATTGCGTACACACTACCATCTTCAAACCCCGCGTATAGGAATAAACTTTAAAGTGACGAAAATTGTGTAGATTTTTTTCATTAGTTCCCAAACTTTATTAGTCACTAGTGGTAGCAAATGGGCGGGTTGGGTCAAATTTGGGCAAACTGAAAATGGGTCAACATAAAATGGTTAATAATTCAACCCGCTCATATTTGATATGGATAAAAATGGATTGGGTAAAATATTAGTTTACTCATATTTACCCATATTTTCATTATAGATAGTACTCTACTTAAGAATTCAACATGGAGAAAATATTTTAGTCTTTTCTTTAGATGAAAAATATTGAAAATGCTTCATTTAGTTTTGTTGTATCATGAAAGTAAAAAAAAAAATCGTATAACTTTTCAATATAAAATAAATCTATGTAATAACAAGGGGAAAATATTTTTAATTTCAAAGTAAATGAATATTTGCATTTTAGGACTAAAACATACTTAATTCACTTTAAGCAATGTCAATACTAATACATGATTTGCTTATTTTACACTATTATTTATTATCCAATATAAAATTAAACAAATAAAAAATATAATTATAATTAACAAAAGAAATATACATTTAAAATGTATATTTTTGAAGGGCCAAAAACTTCACCTTTTCAATCATAGAGAAAAATAATTAGTTCGGTAGAAGAACATAAAAAGAAAGAGAAGTTACAATATTTTTAGTGATATCATGAATTTTGAGTGAATAAAAGTTAGAAGTTTAACTCATTTGGCTAATTCATAGTTTACCCATATTTTTATGGGTTGAATATGAATATCAGTTCATATTTTACCCATATAAAAAAATTACTCAACCCATTAAAATATAGACGAATTAGACGGAGTACTAAAATATGAGCTCATTTTACCGACACTAGTCACTGCCATAGGATTCTCTATAGCTGGACAAAGCTGCTACAGGAAAAAAGGAAAAGAGGAAGAAGAAGTAAAGTTGTTTTTAAAACAGAAAGGAATAAAGGGAAGAGGAAAAGGAAAACCGATTAAGTTAATTTAAATTAAATGGGAATAAAGGTAATCTTCTTGTTTTTTGACAAAGACTAACCCTACTATAGATGACTTGCCATAAAGGCAAAATGTATGGTTCAAATTGCAGACGTGGTAATGCACGCACAGGGCCGGCTCTTGCCTTTGTAAAATAAGGCTTATGCCTTAGGCCTCCAAATTTTGGGGCCCCTAAATTATTATTAAGAATAAATTATGTGTTAAATTTTTATCGAAAAAATTGATTAATTATGATAAAAATATATTATTTTACCAATTTTAACATCTTTTATACTTTGTTAAAAATAAAAATTAATAGTGAAAAGTGTTGAACAAAGTGAATTACAAATTCTTTTTTATTTCTTTTTAAATTTTAGTTTCAAACACTACAACAAGCATATTAAAATGGTGTATACCAAGTCATCAACTTTTGAATCAGATTCTATGGTTCTAACACTTATTTTTATTTAATAATTGTCAACTTATTACTTATAAAATTATGTTAATAATTCATATTGCCTCATTGAAAGAATGTTTTTCAATGTTGTGTTGATAAAATCCTACCTAAAATCAATAATTGAAAAAATAATATTAAATACTAATAATTTTCATCTAAATAGCGTAAGAAAAATAAATTTTGAATAAATATGTATACAAAGTTTGTTTATATTTTAGGCCTCAAATTAAAATTTCACTTTAGGCCTCAAATTGAAATTTCGCTTTAGGCCTCAAATTACGTTAAGCCGCCCCTGTGCACGCATGTTATGTTAGATGAGAAAAGACGCAAAAAAATAATAATGAGAAAAGACAAAAAATGTTTTTATCGGTGTTCTAGATTCGCGCCATGTATGACCTATTAGCGTTGTTTATCAAGGATATTTTCATCTTCAGAAGTCAAATTCGAGACTTTTGATTGAGGAAAGAGCAACTTCATTCACTTCACCACGTAAGAGATGATAATTTTTCAATTATTAAACGACAACTGGCATTCGATTATTCTTTGTCCATTTTTAGTGTTGTTAAATCAGTTAGTATAATTTGTTTGTCTTCGCATGGACTTAAGTGCTCGTTTGTACGAAGAATAAGGAATAGTTAGTAATTTCGTAATTAATTTAAGATACGTTTATTTTATGTTTGATTGAGATAAAATTATAAGATAATTTATTTTGGGATTATAGTGTTATTTTTATCCCATATTAAGAATGACGGAGCGAGTCACAAATATAAAGAGATATTAATATGGTGCAAAAGAGAGAAATAAAATACCCTCTAATTAAAAAAATTCTTAAAAGGGTGTGCAAAACAAAACACACCCTTGATTCCTTTTTATTTGTCACAATTTCTTTTTTAGAGTAAAACTATATGAACTTTGACTAATAATTTAAGATGTATTTTTCATCATTATTGATATGAAAAAAATTGTAATTTCAAGTACTTTTTGTATAGTTTTTGAATATCTAATTTTTTTATTTTTAAATATTAAATTAATGCAAAACTTTGAAAGTTAATACTCTAAAAAAATGTAACGTGACGGCTAAACAGGAACGGATGGAGTATAGCAAGCAAGATGGACCATAGGGAGAAATTTGTTCCTCATTAATACTTATTATTGATTTGTCAGGAAGAAGAATCATCTTACCAAGTTGATTAGCTAATTAATCTGATTATAAAGTCAACTCCAACATTATTGTAATGAGCATTAATTAGTAATAATATGTTTAATTGAACAAATTCAAGCATTAGCCACCGGTATCATCGATCCACTTGCTCTAAACCATCCATTTTTCAACTTCATTATTTTGAGAATGTATAATAGCTTTAACCATGGCTGCAAGGAATTGAATGTCAAATGTAGGCAGTAGGCCAATACTACTTGTGACAGAATAGTTTTTTTAAAAAAAATTTATATTTGCTATCTGATAATCGTATTAAGGTTTGATTAATCCAAATTTGCATATTACATAACTCACTGTTAAAGGCGGTGCTTCCAACAAAATTAAAAAATGAGACGGATCGAGGTAGAAAATCTCTAACCATGACCATAATGCAATAACAATATGTTGATAGTAATCAATATGGATTGTGGTGGAATGGTTGAGATTCCTCTATCCTTGACCAGAAATTTCATATTCGAGCCCTAATATGCCGAATGAAAAAAGAAGACAATATGCAGATAGTAAACCAATTCAAAACTTGAAACACAATACACATGTACATGCTAAAAATTAGAGCAATCATGCCAGAATAATTGAGTATCTTAGAAAGGGAATTAAAAGGACAGAAAATCACTCTCATTCTTAAAACTAAGTACTGATTTTTGTCATATTTCCAAACAACAACCATACTGAACATGACCACTATATTCATCAGAAGTTTCTACTTTTGTCCATTTTTTCACTTTGCCATCACTCTCCACATCCAAATCCAAATCCAAATCCAAAGCATAAATACTATATAGTTCATCTAATTGGCCCCTTCCCACCAATATCAACTTCCCTTGACACGCTGTCAAATATGCCACGCTAGTAATCCCTGCTGGCAACCCCGCCAGCTTCTGCCACGTAGGATCTTCCTTCACTGCCACGTCACCGCCTCGGCACATGTATAATCTCCCATCATCACCTTCAATGCAACTATGAGGAGAAGTGTTGATCACACTCAAGAAGTCATCTTCCAGTCGCCACTGCCACGTGGCGGTGTCGAACACCTCAGCATCATTCTCGAAGTGACCTTGCGCCCACGTAGGATAACCGCCGATGACGTGGAATTTACCTTTGTGAAATACAACCTTACATTCGTCTCTCTCCATGACCATGTCAGGAAGTGTAATCCACTCGTCTTTAACGACGTCGTATGAGAGTGCCGATTTCATAGCATTCTTTTCGTCATCGTGGCCACCGGCGACGACGATCATTCTATCGGAATCCGATGCACATCCGAAGAACGACCTCTGCTGACCTGGCATATCCGCCCCACGACGCCATGACCCGGATATGAAATTGTAAACGAAAACAGAGTCCATAACCCGCCAAGTATCCGGGTCACACCCGCCAATCACTACTAAATCCGACCCGACTCCAACAATCCGGCAAAACCTCGGCAATCCATCAATCAACTCCGGTATCGGCGGCAAATCATACCAGGAGCCGTTTTCCGGGTCACATACAGAGAGCCGGTAAACCTGAGTAGAAAAAAGTACAGTATCACCCTCTGGTTTTTTCACAGTAGCAACCATAGATTGTACCATGGCTAAAACGGTTCGGGTCAACCCGGAAACTTTCCGCAGGCGGCGAAACTCCGGCAACATGATCTCGCCGTTCCATTTTTTGCATACTGAAGCTGCTTTAGAAAATTGATCAACAGGGAGACGTATGAGACATTCAAGAGCTATTTCATTAGGTATCCCCGGGATCAGGTCCATGGCTCTAGCTCGCTTTTTTGGTATATTATGATTTGGTCGTAGAAGAAAATATTTGAAGTAAATTTAGTTATGTTTTTTCCTCCTTTTTCAGATTTAGTAGAAAGGGAAATAAAATCATGAATTTATGGGGCAAAATGGAAGGACATAATTTATGGAACATTGGTTTGACAAAACCGTAAGCGTGACTGGGTCCAGTGACACAAGTTAAAGAGTTTACTTTGTGAAGTAGCAGTGGGGGGAGGGCACAGAGTCCAGAGAGGTTGTTTTCAGAGTAATACACACAAGTAGTGCAACTTGGTGAATACGGCTATAATCAAAATTATAATTGGCTGGCTATAATATTTATATAGAGTTACAGGCATATAACGCGTACAAGTTCTTGCGATTGTCACGTGCCACGACATCATTTTTTCATTTTTTATCCAATCTATATTATATTGTAAAGTTAAATTGTTCCTAATTATAAAATGGTGACATTATTTTTGAGACAGACTAAAAAAAAAAAGAGCGTCAAATAAATTGAGACAAAGAAAGTATCTCATAAGTCATATGGTCTCTACATCAAATATATAGCTAGGTTTATAATTGTAAAATAATACATTTATGTTGAGACTATAGTTTGATTGATTAATCATGGTCAAACAACTAATTATGTGGCCTAATGATCAGTGAAATGAATTGAGAATCAGGTTTGACATTTGAATCCAGAATCATAATGAAAAAAATTTATCAAGTACTAATTTCTTCTAAGTTTTGATAAATAAAATTATATGATATTTATGCTAGTGCAGGTTGTACTCATTTGGAGTAAACGCTGAATATGAATAGTTTTCTAATGGTTTCTTAGTCTTGGTCTTTTATTATTTAATTAACTATATTTGCTACTAATTTATATGCCTATCTGACTCCATTTGTTACTGTTTACTGCTTGCCACTAATAAAATAAAGGGGACAATAATCCGGAGTAAATTGACTTTATGCTACTTTACTTGTCTAATTTTTTTATTTTTGTATTTGACATTTGGTATTCATTTTGTAGTTTTGAATAATTCGAATTCACATGAAATCTTTTATATTTTAAAAGAAAGCACTTTCTATAAAAATAGTTTATTATACATCATATATTTGTCGAACCCCTTTCTAGTCTTTTTATCCTTAGTTCCCCTTTTCTTTTCTTCTTGCCCTATCCAATGTTAATTAGGCATGTTTCAGCATGCTGCTTTGATATTTTTGAATTTCAAACTAACATAATTTAATTAATTTTGCCGGATCTATACGAAATCAAAATGGTCATATATTCTAGGATGATTCAACTTTAATAAGTTTGAAAAAATATTAACAAATGTATTATAGTGTATATAGCTTAGTCTAACTTCATTATTTTCCACATGATACATTCTTAATCTTAGAATCTAAGCTATTAGTTTTCAGCACTTCAAATGATGATGCTTTCATAAATGTTGACATTGACAAATTTATAATCTAATTCATCCTATATATATCTAAGCACATGGAACTAGTCTTTTCATTGAAATAAGATGCAATGAAAAAAAAATAACTTTGCTAATGAACGTGACAACTATGTTCACATTATTTTACAAGGTATTTGTTGAATATATCTAACGTTTATTTCACAATATCTACTTGAAATTATAAATTTAAAAAAGAGATGAACAATTTAGATATATTACATCAAAAGGCGGTGCCTTCTAGTAGATAAAAAATATTTGCGCATGAAAGTAAACAAGTGAGATCAGGAGTGGGATTACAAATTGATATTGTATCTATTGTTGTTTTTTGATTAATTCGATTTTGCACTATATAAATTATATTAAAGGAGAGATGCTGCCTATAACATTTTTTTCATTTTCAAATTACAAACTTGAGTCACCAGATCTCTGTAATTAAGAGTGAAGGTTCGTAGATAGTATCTGTTTTTCTAAGTTCCAACAGACAATGAAGCTAAAGCTTGTTAAATAGCAAATTATAGAGGATTTATGAAATTTTTCGTTTTATGTGGTGACTATATTTATATTAGTTGTTGATTGATCAGATTAATTATTCTCTCTCTTTTTCCCTCGTTGCCGCCTTCTCTTTTTTTTCCCGAAATCTATATCTATTCAAAGGATCATATAGTATCATTCACAATCCAACTTGAGAATATTATATCCCACGAAAAAACATACAATTTGTTGTCTTTTGTTCAACAAATTATATAACTACAATATTTTTGGCATGAGTGTCCCATCATATACGTAGACTGTACATTAAATAAACTTTCTCCCAATTTGAGTTACGCAATATCTTGATTGATCATTGCATATGTGTTTAATAAATTAATTATCAGTTGAAATTTGGAAATCAACTAGTATTTTATACGTTTTCAAATTCGCCATCACAAGATAATCACTTGCACTAATCTAAAAAGCGTACGACTACAAGACATAATTTTTTGCTAAAAAGAAGATAACATCAATCTGTTTGAAAGACAAAACGTGCAATTTTATGCCATTCATGTTTGATTATTATTAGGGAAAATTATATAAAATAACAAATTATTAATTCAAATTAAATGATATAACCATAGTTTCATTTAATTGTATTCTGTAGCATACACTTGCCATTCGCCTCTCTCCCTAGTCTCTCTCACTTTATACAAACAAAAATGTATAAATTGAGTTAGTGTTTGTATAAATCGAGAGAAAACTGTATATACACTTACAAATACATATATTTGCGTCATATACACTTATAATTATACAAATACAGATCTTCCTCTACCTGTTCTCTTTTGCCTTTCTCTCTTTCTCGCTTTATACAAACACAAATTATACAAATTACAATGTATAATTTGTGTTGTATAAAGCGAGAGAGAGAGAGATTTGATATACACATGTTTTATTTCGATTCAATTGTATACAAATTCAAATTGTATGCAGATATACAAATACGATTATTGATACATATACATAGTAGTTACATATATACAATTATCTAATCGATATACATATACAATCGATGCGCCTTTATACAAACGAATGCCTACCTGCAATTTATACAAATCTGATGCTCCATAGCAAACATAAATTTATTATGGAGCTCAATTATACAAACTATAACTATAACATACAAATATAGTTTTTATGTTTGATAAACCTAAAATTTACTCTTATTATTATAGTTAAATAGATTAAAGCCCACCAGCCCAATCAAAAGTCAAAACACTATCCAATCTAGTTCCAACATGGACGAACAGATGCAACTTGGCTAGACAATTCCACAATGGAAATTTGGACTTGTCCATATTTTACAAGACATGTTCATATGTTTATTTATAAAAATTTGATCATTTCAATCAGGTGTTATCTATTTCATAATTCAAATTCGAATTATTGATAACACAAAAAGTCTAATATGAATTAAATTGATTCTTTTGAATTTCTATACGTGTAATTCCCTCAATATATATCATAAAATATTTTTACATTTTTCCAACAAAAAATGTTTACCTATTATGTCGAGTTAATCTTTTCATAAGTGAATACATAATAAAACGTTTATAGTTAATTTGTGTGAACCCAATTTCACACGTATTTAAATTTTGCAAGTGTTGAGATTTTCCCTCTTGCTATAAGTTTGATAATGGTTCAACACCCAATAAACAGTCAGTTTTCTTTTTATAATAATAAAAGCTAAAATAACTTATTTTGATAACAAATGACCAAAAATAATTTAATTCTCAAACTATTTTAAGAACGTGAATTGAGTACTCAATATACAATAAATTAATGTATGTATATTCTTTTAGATGGAGCATATAGGGTAAATTTGCAGAAGTTATGTTAATGGGGGTGGGGTGGGGTCTAAATTAAAATTGGGTTCAAGAGTTAGATATTTTGGGCTGATCCTATATATATGATGCAAAAGAAGAAAAATGAATATAATAAGGTACTATTATATACACATTGTAAAATATACTTTTTGATTCAAAACTCACAATAGTTAAATTTTGAATTATTGTGAATTATTGTTCCAACAGTTGTCATACAAATGCTCTGAAAGCTAATTTAACATATAAAGAATCTTGAAATTTGTCTTGATCTGATGTGAGACAACTTTCTTCAACATAGTTAACACATATATATATAGGTTTAATTATACACACCACGTTGAGTCATATACTTAATATTGATCAAAGTAATTATACATTATATGTTATTTTCTTCCAACACAAGCAAAGTGATCAAGTTACATTCATCCAGGTGCTGGTCAAAGGTTGACAACAATTAGCAAGCTAAAACTTAATTAAATGATAAATTTTATATTGCTTAAAATTTTTCAAGGCCATATATGAAATTCAACAAGTTGCTGAAATAAAATGTTCTTCAAGTTTCCATAAATTTCACTAGGAATTTGTTCTCAAATGACTCTTGACTCAAAACACTCTTCCTTTAATTCCTGTCCAATTTACATGCATGATACTCAAATTGCTTGCTTCAATGAAGAAGTAAACATTATTATATCAAAGTATCAACCTTTAAAAGCTAACTTTTTACCATGTTCTACTATTGATATTAATTAGTGATTCACGATTTAAATTCTACGAGTTCAATTTTTAAAGATTTTAGTGGATTTTTGATTATGGAAATAAATTTTTTTCATTTTATTTGAAAATTTTAAATTGGTGTGGAAGTGGTGCTTGACCATATATTTTCTACAAAGTATATTTAGAATTTAGATGTATTTAAAAAAAATAAATTATACACCATTCTAAAAACTAGCAAAATCACCAAATTTAACTAACTTAACTGAAACATATTACACTCTAAAAGAGTAATATCTCAAAATAGATATAGATTAGATATCACATACTATTACAAATATTTTTCACTTTATTTGAAAATTTTAAAAATTAAATTGTGTTTGTTTATAGTTTTTGCCGATAATTTTACTAGTTTGGAGGTACTTTTTCTAAAAAAAACATGAAATATTGGGTTATTATTAATTAGGGTAAAATTTTGAAAAGGGAATCATAAAACCAGATTAGCCATGGGAATTTTTCACTTTTTTTTCCAGAATTTATTTTCACTCTGTTTGAAATTATCTAGAATCATGTAGCACATAAATACATAGAAATTTAAAAATTAATAAAGGATATATCAAACAAATTAGATTGCTAATTAATTTTTTGTGCAAAAATAGTAGTCTACTACTATCCGAGACTTAATTATGGCATTAAAATACGAATGAAAATCCATACTGATTTTTGTTGGAGTAAATAAAAAGCTGATATAGTCAAAAGTGAATGTGATTACTCTTTCTGGAAATAACCCTAAAATTGTTAGCTTCTTCATCAATGAAGGAAAATATTACTGTAAATTGAAGCAATTTGCATGTTCAAATTACTTCTCACAATCTGAAATTTAACGATTTCCGATCGATAAGCAGCGCCGTTTGAACATGTCTGGGTCAAACGACGGTGACAAGAATGGGAGGAAACGTAATCTTCCTTCATGGATGAGTTCAAAACCCGGTTCAAGTGGTTCGGGTCAGAGTAAATCAAATGATGAAGGTGAGACGACGGAGACAGCTGAGCAAGGGAAAGGTAGACGCAAAACCAACCATGGCAAAACACTTCCCGACGAAGCTGAGAACGAAGCACATTTTTCAAATTTCTCAAAACTTATGGTATTGTAGAGTTTTCCTTAATTACACTAGCTGCGTTTCTTATGTTATCGCCCTAATATAGGAAATGAATATGGAGGATTTGAATAGTCAACCCGAGTAATTTTAGCTTCAGTTATTATGGAATGCGTGGAATAGTATAGGGCGGAATGCTTCATAACTTCATATAGTTGATAGAACTAATTTTGACTGTTTTTGTAATGAATTTGGCTGAATAGGGAAGAATGAATGTAGAAATTTATGTTGTAGACTTGTACTGATTATTATGAATAGGTCAAATATAGTAGAATGAATGCTAATGATTCATACAGGACTGAAACTAATTTTAGTTGTGTTTGCTATGAGATGGATCGGATCGCTTAGAATGCATATAGAGGCCTCATATAGTTGACAATTTGCTAATTTTAGTTATGTAATCGGTTGGATAGCATGGACACAAATATATAGGATTAGCATAGTCAAGCCCAACTAATTCTAGCTGTGTTTGTCATGAAATGTGTTGAATGGACTGGAATGAATACGTATTGTTTCATATCATCAGCCCAAGTGATTTGGGATTACGGAGTATGTTGATTGATTGATTTAGCTCGTTTGTTGTTCTATATTCTGAGTGCTGCAGGAAGGGGTTGTATTTGTCCTATCAGGTTTTGTCAATCCCGAGCGTGGTACATTAAGGTCCCAGGCTTTAGAAATGGGAGCCAAGTATCAACCTGATTGGAACTCGGAATCCACACTCTTGATCTGTGCATTTTCCAATACACCAAAGTTTCGTCAAGTTGAAGCAGATAATGGAACAATTGTATCGAAGGTTTACCTCTTCCTTTTGCTGTATAACTGATGTTGATTTTCTGCAAGTTCATTATGATAGGAAGGAGGCTGATGTCCTAGGAGATAGTGATGCGTCTAGTATTATGGGTTTCAACGAAATGAACGAAATCTAACTGTGTTGTACTATTTGTGTCTTCTCTGTTTACTATCCCTGTAGACTTCAGTTTTGTCATTTGTTTTTGAAACAGAACTATTTTGCTTGATCCTTTCTTTTGTTCCAATATTTCTGCTTTATATAACTGCATGATTCATAATTTCCTTGCGGGAATGCATTCTATTTTATTAATGACATTTCCTCCTCAGAAGATGATACTTCAGTCTCTATTTGAACATGGGAGGGTCTTAGACCTAGATGTCGATCTTATTCTTTTGGTATTTCTGCAAGATCAAGGGGTAACTTAGTTGAGAGAGAAAAATCTTGGTGTAAGTCTTTGTTTATTCTTTATCCTGACTTACTTCCTTTTGTTTTGGTGCGTGGGGAAACCGTGCTTTGCACTGTATGTCGAAGTATTAGGCATCCACATGTCATGAAAATGTGTGATAAACAGTGGGTTTTATTTTGTTTAAGTTTGTTCACGTTAAGCACCGCTGCCTTCTTTATGTGGGGACATGGGTTTACTGTTGGAGTTTGATTTTTTTCTTCTACAACCTCTTCTCTTTCTAAGTCTAAAAGTTTTTGCTTGTTTTGCACAGGAGTGGATAACAGAGTGTTACAAACAACGAAAACTTGTTGAAATTGAAACTTATCTTATGCATGCTGGCAAGCCATGGAAACGTCAAAGTGTCTCTCATGAATCCAGCCAAGGTTACCTCTCTCTGTCTTTGTCTCTCCTCCTCTCCCCATCCCACCCTATCCCAAAACACTCACTGTTTGTGTGTTACAGAAGGACGGGGATCATTAAGCTCAATATAGTGAATGATACTTCCAGTTAACTGATCCATCTTGGTCCTTACAGATCAAAAACCATCAACATCAAGAAAATCTCAAACAAGAGGAGAGAAAAATTCACCTTTTAAGACAACTACTGCTCCTTCAGCTGCTCCTTCATCTGAGGTACTTATCTGTATTGACACAGGTTCACCATATATAGATTCGGAAAAGGATTCAAAATCAATTCATCCGGACTTGCTTTTGTGATGCACATTATCTTGTTGTGACAGGAGGTACATTCTGATAATGTAAAAGATGGCTTCTCTCCATATAAAGTGAAAAAATGGGCTATAGATGATCTTAACCGGACGATTTCATGGCTGGAGAATCAAGATGAAAGGGTAAAGTGATGTATCTAATATTCTGGAATCAGTTGTTGACTTGTACGTGAGTGTTGTCAATCTGACTGCTTATCTTCATTTGGACACAAACTAGCTTTGTGTTCTGTCTTATTAAAAAGGAAAAAAAAATGAAGGACCTCTGTCTTCTGAAAGAATAGGCCAAGAATTTTATGCTTCTTTTTTTGGGTAAGAGGGGGGGAGGAAAGGAGGTGAAAAATGTGTTGAGGGAATTGCGAGAAATAGTCCATCCAAGTATCTGAATGAATACTTAATCCTGCATAATTGTATGTAATTATTTGTCGCAAGTTATCTTACTCCATTAAATTTGATTTTGATACAGCCAGAGCCCCATGAGATGAAGAAAATAGCTGCTGAGGGAATTCTAACCTGTTTACAGGATGCCATAGATTCTCTTAATCAAGGGCAGGTAAATTAATTTTTGCTACAATTTTCTACATTTTTCTATTGAACGTTTGGTTTATTGAGTAAGAATTATGTTGCTGGTCTCTTACTTGCCATTTTGGATATCCTTAAGTAATATATAGGACTGCCGTGGGAAAATCTTAGAGGGGGATAGTATCTCTCTTATCAACATAACAAGTGCTGAAATTTTTTCCGCCTTAGCACCATTTGAAACTGCTATAGTTTTGCCTCAGGATTTTCTTCTTGCCAATTTCCTGGTAATGTATTCTGTTGCACCATTGATGTTGGACTCTTTTTCATGTAGTTGACCCCAACTAGTTTTGGGGTGATGCATAGTTGATTAATCAATTATTGATGTTGGACGGTTCTCACAAATTAGTTATTGCTATGGATGATAAATGAAGTAGTATTTCATGTTTTACACAATTAGTTATCGCTGTTTATATTTACTTTATAAAGAAAATAAATAGTGCTCTATGACAAATAGGTAGCATTGCAGTTTTTAATCTAATTAATTTTTATCCTAGGCAGCTTCTTTTGTTGGATATTACCATTATTGAACTGCATTTTCATGAGAGAATTTGCGTTGATTAAGTAATTGGTAAATACTAACCTGCATCGGGTGTTTTCTGTGATTAAGTGATTTAATGTAGTAAAAATAGTCATTAATTAATCATGGTCAAGTGATAAAAGTGTGCATACAAACACATGTCATGCATCTATTGGTTTGGCGTAAACACCCAAGTAAGTTTTTACCTAATTAATTTTTCATCCCACCAGGACCTTTTGTTTTCTGAGAGTATTCTGGAATCACAAATACATTATTGTACATGAAGGAAGGTAGTGAGAGTGAAGGCAGTCAATTGACTCGATTCTAACTGTAAATGTGGCGGTAGTAACCAGTGTGGGTATAGTCTGGGTGGACATTGGATGTTCTGGCAAGCGTGGAGGCATGTTATGTTTTTGGAGGGTCTATTGGGTGTTGTTGTTGATGGTTGTACTGTACAGGAGTGGCTAATGATAGGAAACTGGGAATGGCGTTAAATGACGACAAAAGTCTGCTGGTTTCCGAGTCAGTCAAAACAGGTGGCACAGCTACATAGAGCTGAATGAGCAATTGCTTACATCTTGTAGCAGACATTTTTAGCATACTGGGCAGAACTTTTTGTGCTTCCTTACTTGAGTCCCATCAAGTGAGACCATTAAGCATAATGGGTTGGAATATCAGTTTTTTTTTTTTTTCATACCAAGTGAATAACTTCAACAGGGAACACATATTCTGACAGATGATTGACCAAGGTGTGATGAACCCATTGTAGAACTTTTATGGCTGTGAGGTTGCCCTTATAAAAAAATTATGAAAACATGGTTGTTTCTTCCAGGGAGAAGTTTGAGTTGCTCTTTTGAAAGTACGTTCTTAGGCTACAAGTGTCCTTTGATCTGTATTTCAAGTTGAATGAATACTCTCTGTCCTAGGAAATGGAGTGTAGGTGTAAATTCATTTGCTTAGCCTATCCTTTGAATGTTGTGCTTTCCAATGGAGAAACTTTATCATGTCTCGAGTCCTTGGACATTCTAAGAATTCTAGCTGAATTCATGTTGATTATCTGGTACAAGAATTGGTGGAAATTTTATTGGAAGATTTGTAATATAATAGGTAATATCAATTAGTTCAAGCTGTAGTGATTAAAAAAGTAATCACTGAAGTAAAAAAGGTTTTGGCAGTTGCTTTTCTTTTCTCCATATTTTGATGATATGTTTGACTCATCCTCCAATTTATTTATGTTTTTTCGTGGTTAATTATACTCTTGTTAACTCTGTAGGATATGCGTCAAATAACTGAACAGTGGGAATGCATCCCTCGTGCTGTTGAGGAGCTGGCAAAGTTTGATGGTAGTTGTGTTGGTTCAGCTACAATGCACAAGGATCTTTGCAAACAAGCTGCGACCTGTAAACAAATTTATGAGCTGGAGTACAGAAATAGAGAAGACGATGAACTTTCGAAGAGGAAAGAGCAGCAGACTCGTGTAAGTGGAAAGGCTGGTGGCGCTGCCAAAGATGCTGCTGCATATGACAGTGATGATACTGTTGAGATGACAGAAGAGGAAATTAACCATGCTTATAATGCCGTAGCATCTACGGTTCGAAACACTAAGAGAGTGTAAAACTGGGAGGTAGAAACGCTAATCTTCAATTCCTTTTAGCCTGTGAATGGAGGAAGAAGATGATAGTTTTATATTTGGACTGAGTATCGACATCCAAGAGTTGTCATCTGTCACTAACCTGTTATAACAAAGTATACAAAAACCCAATTACTCTGGGCTGGATCTTCTCTTTTTTGAGATTTTTCTGTCAAGTTGGTTTAGGTCCCAAAAAATCTATGTACCAATAACTTTGATCCTCGCTACCTCAATTTCTTTTTCTATCTTTATTTGTTTTCTATGCTCGTTTTAGTTTTCAATCAACATTCTTTCAACGGAAAAGGGTCAAAATTGCCCCCGAACTATATGAAATAGACCATTTATACCCTTCGTTACATTTTGGGATAAAAAATGCCCCTGTTGTTATCCTAAGAGACCACAAATACCCTCAAGAGTTAACACCCCAAATTTTTGTTGACGTGGCAAGCCACGTGGGACTAATCCTTCCACCTAAGCGTTGTCAACTAGGATTCACTACAAAAAAACTAGACCTTTAGCGGCAACAACAGTCGCCACAAAAGCCCAGAAAATCGTCACTAAACGTTTTTAATATTAAATTCTAATTTTGTGTTTTTTTCTTCATTGTTTTTAAAAAACCAAATATGATATCGATTAAGTAGGAGTTTGAAGACACTATATGTTTTATTTTTATGTCATATGTAAATGTATAAAATGTACAATGATGCATTATATATATATATATATATATATAGTAGGAGATTTGAATCGAGAAGTAATTTTGATTATTTTTCGTAATAATATTGGATGTTTTTATTATGGATATTGCAAGTTATTTATTTTAGAAAATTAGGTCGCAATCGAAAATTAATTATCATATTTGTTTTGTTGAAAAATTAGGTTTTACTAGCAAATGGTTGTTGGAGCCTTAGTCGCCACTAAAAATCACTCATAACCTTTAGTGGCAATATTTTGGGATTTTGTGGCGACTTTGTCGCCACTAAAAGTCAAGTTCTTTTGTAGTGAATCTTAGTTGACAATACTTAGGTGGAGGGATTAGTCCTACGTGGCTTGCCACGTCACTAAGAAATTGGAGTGTTAACTCTTGAGGGTATTTGTGGTCTCCTGGGATAACTGCGGGGATATTTTTGATCCCAAAATGTAATGGTGGGTATAAGTGGTCTATTTCGCATAGTTCAGGGGCAATTTTGACCCTTTTCCGTTCTTTTAATAAACATTGTTGTCCGAATCAACTTACGGGCACTTGATTAATTATATGGAAAACCTACTATTTTCCACCAACGTATGTATCGAGTAATTATGTTCACTCAAACTTTGAACGAATGAGATGAGATCATATGATATTTGTGCCTGCAATGAAATTTTAATTTTGAGATCTCATGCCTCTCAATTGATTCCATTGATCATTGGTACAATGTAAGTATTCAACACATGTCAATTATTTAATTGAAAAGAAGATTACAACTGACTTCGTTAATAATAATTTGAGGAAATTGAGATTATTATTACCTGAGCTGATAATTTTTTCGAAACAATCTCTCTATCTCCATGATGTAAGGGTAAGTTTAAATACACTCTACACTATCCAAATCCACTTATAAAATCACATTAAACATGTTGAAATTGAGACCATTCGAGTGTTGTGGAAGACTATTCCAAATAAATTTCATGGGCTCATTTGGACATGCGTTTTTTTTCCTTAAAATATTTTTAAAAAACATTGTTTGATTAGCCATAAAAGTTAATTTTTCAAATGGTCTTTTTTTTCATCCATTAAATATCAGTTTTTTCAAATGTAATGTAAACACAACTTCAACTTCAAACTATTACATTCTTTTTTTCTCTCAAATAAGCACTACATCCATGTCAAAAGGCCTACCTAATTCACTCATTTTTTGCTACTTTTTTCTTCCTTTTTCCACCTTACCTTATTAGGAACTAACTAACGTAATAAAATCGTAAATTCCCCACGAATGTAACCAAATTACGCAATTACTCAAATACCCCTGCGGACTCCCCAGCCCGAAAGCTTCAACTTGACTATATCTCAGTAGGGTTGCAGCAGATAAACGCCACCATCTCCGCTGTATCTTTTCCCATTCACTGTCTCACTACCTGGAATCTCCTTCCTCTTTCTCTCTCTAGAACCTTCGCTATTCAAAAATGGGGGCTTCGCTTCCTGCCAAAGAGGCCAACCTCTTCAAACTCATCGTTGTAAGTTCTTCGTTTCTCTCAAAAAAACAATAATTCTTTTTCAATGGAGTTTCGTTTTTTTTTTTTGCTCGTGTTCACTTTATTCAATTACTTTGTATTCATGCCAGTTAATAGCCTGTATTTTATGTTAAATTACTTCAGTGACGATTGTACGGTACTATATTGGTTGCATGAATTTTATCTGTTAAGTTGTTTATGAAATTATGAATTTGGACAGGCTAGAGGCGTTTCCGTTGCAATGCGAATTTAAGAATTGTAGTACAATCGTGAATTCAGATGATTTTGTGCTGAACTAATAAATAATCATGGTCCAAAATACTTTTGTGGCTGGATTGTCATGTCATCATTATAAGGAATCATGATAAATAGTCTATTTCAAGACTTAAGTTTTAATCTATCGAAATCCTCCTCCTTTATCTCTCCAAGAATTGATAAGTTGCAATAAGAAAGTAAAAGATTGAAGTTTTAGGTGTGTCTAACGGACTAGAACCATAAGTATGGTGTGGTGTTTGACAGAGCTTGTGAAAAAAAGTGTCATATGAAGTTACTGCCAAAAAAAGAGGGGGATTAGCAAAGCTCAGATAGTGTTTTTAAAGGGCAGGAGGTGGGACATTTTACATGATACATTGCAAGACATAAACTCCAAGGCACGATGCGTAAGCCTTATAATTTATAAATTATAAAAAAGTATATAAACTACAAAAAGATAAATAAAATTAAACTACATAAAATTCAAGAAAATTATAAAATTAGTGAAAATGTAACATGTGCACGAACACTACAATTTTTTTTTCATAATTTTATTTTTTGAAATTGGTAATGTTGTAGTTTCAGCATTAAGGACATGCTGGAGACCTCCAAAATATTGTTAATAGGAATCTAGGCTACTTACAATGAGCCTAAAAGATCTATAATAGAAGATAGAAGGTGCAAATCACACCTAGAGAAATAATAGAAGATCGATTGAGATGGTTTACCCATGTCTGACATAGAGTCCCAAATGTACCAATTAGTAGATGCAACAATATGATGATTGGAGTTGTTGAAAGGCAACGAAGTAAACCTAAATATCACATTGGAGGGAAGTTATTACGGAAGATTTGTATTATGAGACCTACAATCTCTAAGACTTAGCTAAGAATACAACATTATGAAGCAGAGATAATAAAGTCTAAAATATTCTTAGCTAAGATCTATATTCTTGTTAGTGGTCAATGAAGTGAGTTAAGAACCATGAAACCTCAGGTTCAAATCTTAGCAGAGACAATAACACTCGGTAATTTCTTCCCATCTATTCCAACCTTGATGGACGAAGTTACCTGTTGCTAGTGGGTGGTGGTAGTAACTTGTGGAACTAGTCAAGGTGCAGGGAAGCTGGCCTAGACACCACGATTATCAAAAAGAAAAGAGGCTATGAAGCAAAGGCCCATACAAGCGATGACAATATGTTAGGGTTGTGTTGATACTTTTACCATTAGGCGTGGGCAGATATAAGTTTGATATTAAGTGAACTCCTAGTTTTGGAGAACCCCTAAAAACATATTAATTACCAGTATTGGATTGACTTGAGTTAGAATATAGCTGAATATATGGAGCATTTATACATTTCACAGACATATAGAGGATTTATATTGACAACACCAACTTTTTCAAAACTAACGAGAAAAAACGATGATATCAAACCTTTTCAAATTTGACTAATAGCACTTTTGCATGTAATTTTCTTGCAAAAGGTTATTATCAATTATTTGTTACATTATTTATCCTTATTGAAATAATTTTATTTTCAAAAATTGAGGAATCCTTGTCCAAATTCACCCAGAAAATCAGAAAAAGGAGAAATTATCTGCTTGTATGTGGTGAGTAATTTTGGAAGGAAGGGTAATCACTAATGTTTCAAAAGAGTAAAGGAGAACATACTCAAGCTAAAATCTACTAGCTTTCTCTTTTGACATTTTGGTGTAAAATGCAATGTATGTGACATGGATAGCATATGAGAGTTATTCTTTGCCTCACATGTTAGTCTAGATAGGAACAGATTTTTTGTGAGGGTTTCTGTGGTCATTTCATAGCACAAGCTTAGTGCTACTTTTGAGTTTTGATCAATAAACCTTTTTATTTTACCTACCAAACGAAAAAAATTCATGCTGAAAGCTGGGTGCTTTATCTCATACTTCCTTTTGTGATTGAAGGTACTTCACTTCATATTTGTACTATTAGTTTTTCTCTTTAGGTATTTTTGGGGTGCAATGCAATATGTCTATGATGCAGGCAGCCTACCAAAGTCTAGACAGGAACTGATTTTTTGCAAGGTTCATGTTGTAATTTCATACCACAAGCATTGTGCTACTTTTGATTAAAAAAACTTCATGTTTATTTATCAAAACAGAATTCACGCCAACACTTAGATGTTTTTTCTCGTATCCTGAATCCAGGCATTCTTTTTAGTAAATATGACATATAATCCTTTTTGTACTACTCCCTCCGTTCCATTTTATGTGAGGTAGTTTGACTCGGCACGGAGTTTAAGAAAGAAAGGAAGACTTTTAAAGCTTGTGGTCTAAAATGAATGATAGAAATTTGTGTGGCTATAAATCATTTCATTAAGGGTAAAATAGACATTTTAAAGTTAAATTGTTACTTAATATAGAAATGTGTCATCTTTTTGGGACTGACTAAAAAGAAAAGTAAGTCACAGAGGAGTAGATTATATGACTATTTAACATGAAATATTCCAGTTAATTCATTATGACTGGAGTACATATGACGTCCACTCCCCCTCTTTTTGTTTATTCTCTTTCTAATTTCTTGATTATTGTTGGCTTAAGTATGTCTAATGTTGAGCCGGATTTCTTAATTGTTGCAGAAATCATATGAGACAAAGCAGTATAAGAAAGGCTTGAAAGCTGCTGACACTATTCTCAAGAAATTTCCT